CTTTTTCATAAAAAAAACACAAAAAGAAAATCTTCCTCTCAAGTTGCCGAACCTATTTATAAATGATAAATTAATTAAAAAGCAATCCAATATAAGATTCTTGGGAATCGTTGTTGATGAAAAATCATCCTGGCTTCCTCATATAATATATATCCAGTCAAAAATTACAAAAATCATAGGTTTAATGTATCGAGTTCGCTCGTACATCAATACAAATAGTCTTAAGTTAATCTACTTTGGGCTAATTCACAGCCTAATCAGCTATGCAAACATTTAATGGGCAAGTACTCAAACAGCAAAGCTTAAGAAACTTTATAGTTTTCAGAAACATGCTTGTAGAATCATTTACTTTAAAAATAGGCGAGAACACGGTAATCCCTTAATGAAAGATATGAAAATGATGAATGTATTTGAAATAAATATCTACCAACATTTAATTTTCATGTATCGTTACAATCACATCACCTCTCCTATAAGCTTTAATAATAAGTTTGAGTTAAATAAAAATGATAACTATAATCTTAGAGTGAATATGTTGAACACATATAAACTGCTTCGGATAATAAATAAATATTCAGAATACAGTATTTTATATCGAGGTCCAGAAGTATGGAATATTTTTCAAAAAGGGTTCAAAGGTACGATGAGTTCGTTAAGTTCATTCAAGTTTTTAACAAAAAAAGAAATCTTTAAAATCTTTAAAGATTTTGGTAAAAGTTTTTTAGAACAAGTCGACATGCTAAAATTACGTTAAATACTAATGTTAAATACTTATTTTTAATCATAGTCAATAGAAATCCTGGTCTGGAAAAGCTATTGTCGTATGTTATTGTTCGCTTTTTTTTAAGTCACGTGATCAAATCTAGTGCAAAACAAACAAAACTTTTATAATGAAAGCTACGAATTAATAAAGATTTTGATGTTTATCTTAAATTAATATATTAAAATTATTATTTTCTTTATTATTAAAATAATATTGGTTCCTTTCTACTGTCTATGGTTTAAAAACTTTATTCAATTTAAAATGTTTCTTTATATTCTATATTTAAAAAAAGTCTAAAAGATAAATCCAAAATGCCAGGTTCAAATTGTTGTCTACCAGGATGTACAGTTTCAAGATCTATTAAGCACAAAGATATCACCTTATTCAGAATTCTTATGAGGACAGGAGACTTCTATAAAAAATGGAGACAGAGATTGTTAGCTGTTATCACTCAGTATAGAGACTTTGACAAAGATTTGAAAGAAAGACTCTCAAAGGGCAATATTTATATATGTGACAATTATTTTTTAGCAGAAGATATTGAATTGACAAGTAAGGATACTTTTATATATTTAGTTGTTTAAATTTGCTTTTACACTCTGTGTTATTTAATTCCAAAAGCATTAATTTTGGGCAACTCTGATAAGTTTAAGTACAATAAACAAATAAATTTCAAATGGAACTGCAAAATTAGTGAAATGTTAGATAGTTTTTTTGATTGCTTAAATGTGCGAAACAGCAGTGAAGGGTTAATGAAACGCAAATCATTTTTATTACCATACACGGATGTTAATGACGAGCGTTTGACATGGCTACAGAATACATTTTTATGCTATCTAGAAAAATGGAAAGAGTGTATTATTAATCGTCCTGGTAACTTTTCCAACAATGCAAAAAGAAGAATGTTTATCTCTTGGCAAACATACGAAGGACTTCAAATAACTGTAATGTCTGTTATCGAATTGGTAAAATTTTTATTAAAAAGTGGTATGCCGTTTGTTTTGCCTGAAAAATTCAATCAAGACGTTTTGGAGGAATACTTTGGTAGACAACGGAATTTAGGTCAAAGAAATGACAGCCCTACACTATATCGATTTGGTTACCAGTCAAATACCTTGCGATTGCAAAGATCAATTGCGCCGGTTACTAGAAATACTAAAGGTGGTCATGGTCAATAATGTGAGGTATCTTGGAGTGTTGTTGATAATGAAAAGTTACTAAAACGAAAAAAAAACCTATAAATATAATCTAAATATAAACATAGCATATAACAAAATATATCAACTATTTGTATTAAGTTTAAATTTTAAGTCTTTATTTATTGTCTGATTTACGTTTTATACTTTTTCTTAAAGATTTTACTTTAAAACTTTGATCATTGTTTTTTGCAGTTATATTTTTAGCCAATGAAAATGTACGAACTTTAAAATAAAGTTCTATCATTTTTTCTAACAAGTTAAGCTTAATTTCCTTATCAATAGACACGAATTTCACATCATCCACGATTGCATTGTAAAAACTTATAATATTAGGATCCTTTAATAGGTGTTTTGTTAAATTCTTACTTTCAATATTTCGGAGGTTAGCAACTGCAGTTTCTTGTCTAAAATGTTGCTCAGCTAGCAAGAAAATCTGATAGCATTCTTCACATACTGCTGTTAAACCCCCTCTGTTTTGGGTATTTATTAACTTTTCTGAACTTAAAACTTCTTTAGTTGTTCGAAGTAATAATGCAATTATAGCTTGATTGTACTGGCTTTTGTAATTTTTTGTTGTTTTTGCCTTTTTAAGTAGATTTCTTATAACATACCCAGACAAATATTTTAATCCATCCACTTCACGTGGTGAAATTTCTTCAATTTCAACATTCTTTGAAGGAGAGCTTTGAAAATAGTGAAATAATTTATTGCATAACTTTGTTGTAAATACTGTTGATGCAGGTTTCTTTAGATTAAAATATGTGTCTGAAAAGAGAACAGTATTGCTATAAAAGTTGGAATAATATTTTTCAGCATTTCCAGATGATTTTAATTTTTTTGACATTTTTCTTATTTCATCAAAAAAGTTTTCTGTTATTTTTATTTCAAAGTCTTTTATTTCTGAAATAACTTCTTCAGGATAAAATTCATTTGTTGACAAATCAGCTTTAGTTTCTGCAACAATTTTTTTTACATCTGTGAAAAAATCATTATAATGCATATCTGTTTGACTCTTTATGGTATGTTTGTTTTTATTGTGTCGTGCTCCTTTTGTTTTATACGTTTTGGATTTGCAAATTTTGCACTTGAAGTCTCCAATATCGGTTACCTAATATATATTAAAAATAGCATTTATTATATATATATATATATATATCACGTGACTTAAAAAAAAGCGAACAATAACATACGACAATAGCTTTTCCAGACCAGGATTTCTATTGACTATGATTAAAAATAAGTATTTAACATTAGTATTTAACGTAATTTTAGCATGTCGACTTGTTCTAAAAAACTTTTACCAAAATCAGTCAATTTTTTTTTTTCAGTCATTAAGATTTATTCGCCAATAGCATAGAAGCAAAATTTCCAACTTTTGTTTTTTTTTTTTAAAAAAAAGAGATCTGTTTTAAATACTGCACACAATCATATAAAACTAGCTGGTATGACCCGTACGATACGGGTCGTGCCAAGTCTAATCCACACCCGATAATTTCTAAACTTGTTCCTTAGTTTTCATACTTTAATTTATTTAGTAAACGGCAAAAAATAAATCAATTTAATGTTCTGGTACATGGTAAAATACGAATTTTAATTGCAATTACAATTAAAGTTCGCATTTTACCACCTACCAGATGGTAAAATGCGAACTCTTAAAAAAATTAAATCGAACTTTAATGCTCGTTAAATTATAATTAACTTAAAAGAAAAGTCTAATTTAAATAAAATATATCGAATACCAATATATTTAATTTAAAAAATCGATGAGGAAATGTTTTTAAAATCATGACTGTTGTGGTCATTAAAATGTTTTGGTTCGCTAAAAGTACACAGTTTGCATTTTACTGACTACCTACAGTTCTTGATTTCTAATTTACTGTTCTTTAGAACTAATTAGTATTTTTACTTATTACATTATTACATATTTACTTAATTTTTTTTTACATAATAAAAGTATCTTTAGCATTTAACACAGTTGCGTGAAACTTAAGTTATGATAATATTTTAATTCTCTCATAAAGATTTATTTAAAAAGCAAATTTAGACATTAAAAATGGACCCAAGAGACCTAGTTATTTCAAATAAGTTAGCTTTATCTGTTTGATATATTATATGAAAGCTTTCCCAGTAGGCACGGACGTAATAAAGACGTTTAAAACGTCTTGTACACGTCTTTTTTAGATCCGGTGCCCACTGGGTTTCTGTAAAAAAACTCTTAAATTATTTATATAGTTTTAAAAAATTCATATAATTGCTGAAATATATTAACAATTACACTGTTTTAATTGCGGAATTAGCTGTGGTGACCCGTACGATACGGGTCGCGGCAACTCTATTCTACATCCTATTTCCAAACTTGTTCTTATTTAGGTCTCTATACCTTAGGTAAACAGCAAAAAATAAGTCGATTTGAAGTTATTGGTAAACAATTGACTTAACATACTTTAGAAACTGTACTCATTTACTTAATGTACTCCAATATTTTATACATAAAAGGATCTTTAACATAATAGAGACAGTTGCGTAACAATTCTTCAGGTGTTTTTGAAAACTTAAGCTATAATCAAGATTTTACCCTCTCATCAAGATTTGTTTAAAAAACAAATTTGGACATTAGAAAACGGGTCTAAGAGACTTGTTATTTTAAATAAGTTAGCTTTAAACGTTTGATACTTTTTATAAAAACGTTGCTGTAAAAAACATAGCTGTTAACAAATTAATTTAATTAAGCTGTTTTTACATCCGAAGTTATTAAACATGATGCTTGTGCTAATCGAAACTTCGAGTACAAAATACGATTTTAAGTATAAATGGTTTCTACTCATATATATAATAAAAAGCAACAAAAATTAAAAAAAAAATACAAAAATGATCAATATATCCATTTGAAACAATAAATCCAAAAATAAAATATAGATATTTACTTAAGAAACAAAAAACATTTTTCTTGAGATAAAATAAAAATATAAACTTTAAAAAAAATTACAAAAAAAATATTAACAAAATATTTAACAAAAAGTTAACAATAAAGAAACATAGTTTCATTATTATTAGGCTTTAGGTAAGCCATAATCAAGTCAGCCATAGGAAAAGGAACTCGACCTAAAAATGGAACAAAGTTATTTTAAACATAATGCACATTATTTATAAATTAACGTGTCATGCAACTAATTAATTTTTTTGAAAACTCAAAAAATCCAAATAAGTCGATAAGAAACTTACTTTTTATTTTTCCATAACCCTGACAGATCAACACGAATATGAGCTAAGCCTATTAGCATAAAACATCACAACAATTAATTAAATAACAGAAAATGTTAAAGTAAACTCTAGATAACCCATAGCTTTAAAGGACAAAGAAATTAGTTTAGTTTAAAGAAAATTAGAGTTATTGGGAGTATAATATATAAAAAAAAAGCTTAAGTGGAATTTCAAAATTAGTTTATATTGTTGAGGGTTGAGTTATCCTGAGTGTATTGAACATATTTAAATACTAATTGCACACACTTCTAAAAACATATATAAACATTTAAAAAGCATGAATCTTTTACTTTATATAACAAATATTTATTAACATATAGGAAATAACACATTATAATCTTACAGGAAATTGACGACGTTTAAGAGTAAAAGATAAATTTGAATCAGATTGAGTTAACTGAACTCGAGGAACAAATACCCTCTTGCCAACTGAAACAACTGTTAGAACTTGCCCATCAATGTTATTATTTTGTAGAGTACGCACCATCAATCGGGTACCATTGCAAAGTTCAGCTTTAAGAAATAAATTTCGAAGTAACATTATAACAGCACCAGTTTTTAGTTTTAGGCAATGAATAGTGATTCCCGATGAAGTAAGACTGTTTAAAAACTCAACAGGAAAGTCGTTGATTTCGTTAAGATCATCTTTTCAATAGCATCTACACTTAAATAAACTTTTACATTGCCTGGTAAACGGTCCAAAGCTTCTTCATTTATTGCTAAACAATCTACATTAGTAGGTGTCAAAATGGCATGTTTTGCATAATCATCTTCTTCTGCAACTCCAAAAATCTTGTCTACTATAGATCCATTTGCTGCAAGCAAGCACTGCTCAGGAATTTCAATGCACCCGCGAAAGGGACCATCTGCTTTTAACAGTAATGTTCCTCTACCAAGTTTTAAAAGAGAATTCATCGAGAGATTTCCTCTTTTTCGGCCTGAACCTTCATATTTTCTGTTAATGAAAATCGCTAAACATATTGCAAATGTTGAGAACATTTTATACAGGCTTTAACAATATGCTGGTTGCCCTCTTTTTACAACGGAAAATATTTGCCGGCTTCAACATTTATGTCCGCTTAATATTTTTTAAAAAGCTTAAAAGCCATGGGTTATAAGGTACAACTCAACGGTTATCAACTTGATTGCCTTTTATATTGACAATAGAAGATTTCGTAATTAAGCGGCTATTATGAATCACGTGATGCAATGTTTTTCTCGGGAGGGCAAAAATGTAAACAAACCAATAATAAACATATAAGAAAAAGATAAGAAATAATACATCAGGTAAATAACAAATAAGAAAAAATACATCTGGTGTGTAATTTTAAAAATGATATACGTTTACAAAAATAAACACAAATAAAATAAAAGTCGAAAAAAATTTAGTAAAGAATATTTTATTTATACTTTTACCTCAATAAAATAGAAAAAGATACAAACCAAAAAATTATTCTTATTAAAGCAGTGAGTTTTTGCAAAGAATTTATTTGCTTTCTTATTGTTTAAAAATAATTCTGTATAATATAACTTTGGTTATTCTCTTAACTTTTAATTAAGTTTTAATCTTTTTGTTTGAATATTTATTATCATGTTGTGTTTATTACTAAGTTTTTACTGTTTACTATCTCAGTTAAAAAAACATTATGGTTAATGATCGCTGTGTAGTTGGTATTTGCAATAACGATAAACGTTATCCAGAGCGTTACAAAATACATAGTAACGTTAAATCTGGAAAATTATGTTTCCACAAGTTGCCTGTTGATGGAAAAACAAGAAAATCATGGATTCATGCAGTTTCTAAAGGGCGAAAACACTTTGTTGTATCTAAACATTTTAAAATCTGCTCTAATCATTTTGTCGATGGCATGCCTACTTATGAAAATCCTAACCCAACACTCTTTTTGACATACACCATGAATGTTCAATGTACTCCGGAAAAAAAACAATCAAGACCTCCTCCAAAAATCAGAACAACATCTATTGTAAAACCTGTTTCTTCAAAAATGATTGAATCTATTAACTCTAACTCGGATACACTTACAGCTGAAGAGTTGTCAGATCTTATGATTGTTTCTTCAGACGAAGAAAGCTTAATATCGTTCAAAATAACTCCATATGTTAGTGGCGATGCAGTTGCAGCAGAATTATTACACATCTCCGACTCTCCCAAAGAATTATTACACCCACCCGCCTCTCCCAAAGAAAAAGACACTGTAAATCCAATTTTGTCTAAGAATAAAACAGGCTACAGTGTTAAAAATAATATAGAGCCTACTCTATTATCAACATATATTGCTTTATAGTTTTCTCATATTACTAGGGACTCAGATGTATCGACTTTTACAGGTTTACAAAATGCAAAAATGTTTCAAAGTGTTTTCAATTATGTCAAGCACAAAGCAGCAGTTATGAAATACTGGGATGGAAATAAAAGAACAAATCGATTACGAAAAACCATGTCCAGTGTTGAATCTGTCGAGCAGCTACACTTATCAGAAGATTATACTATTTGCGATAACTTATTTCCTATGAGAAAAAGCGGACCTAAAAGAAAAATCTCACTGGAACAGGAATTTCTTTTAATTATGATGAGATTACGTTTGGGTCTTTTAATTGAAGATTTAGCTTTCCGCTTTTGTATATCAGCTGGAACAGTTTCCCAAATTATTATTACATGGGTAATATTGTTATCTAAAGAGTTGGACAGCCTAATTTTGTGGCCTAGCCGGAATACAATTCGAGCAACTATGCCAAACTGTTTTAAGCGATTGTATCCAAAAGTGAGAACAATTATAGATTGTTCTGAAATATTTTTTGAAACATCAAGTGCTCTTGATGTTCAAGCTTGTATGTGGAGTGACTATAAACATCATGCAACAGTCAAATTCTTAATAGCAATAACTCCGAATGGAGCCATTTCATGGCTGTCTCCCCTTTATGGTGGACGTGCCTCTGACATTTTTATTGTCAGAAATAGTGGTTTTCTTGATATACTTGAGCCCTATGACCAAGTTATGGCAGATCGTGGCTTTAAAATAAGGACAGACCTTGCATATAAACAGTGTACTCTTTGTATACCTCCAAGTGCTGTTAAAGGAATTCAAATGTCAAAAGAAGAAGTTCGAGAAACATCAAACATTGCTAATGTACGTATTTATGTGGAGCAAGCAATAAAAAGGATTAAACATTTCCGTATTTTAAAAATAACACAGCTATTACTATACCTACCTATCATGAATAATATACTACGCGTATGTGCTGCTATATCAAACTTGAGAAAACCATTAGTTTCTAAATAGTTCATTAAACAAATTTAGTTTACTAAATAGTTTTTTTAATTGTATAATATAATGTTCCATTGTCCAAACTTTAGGTTATTATTATAACATGAGTTTATATCAACTAGGGTTTGAAAGATGTGTAAAAAATTAGTAGTTTTTTTTTTAAACCAAACCAGCCCCAAAAAAAGACTTTTTTTTGAAAATTTTTTGAAAATGCAGAAAGAATTTAAAAAAATGTAAATAAAAAAACACCATATTTATCTACAACTCTTAATAAAATATCCATTGAAGATTTAAGCTAAACATAAACTAGACATTGAGCACATGCAACAAACCCAGTCTAGATCTGCTATTAACTCATAGTCTTCTTTTTTTAAATTTTGACATGAACAGTGAAACCAAGCGCAACATACTTCACATTGAATACTGCTAAATTCATTAAATTCTTTAACATTGATTTCTGGACCTTCGAGTATAAGTTTATCGCATTTTCCAAAGAATGTTATAGGTTTTATTAGTAATAATGCTGGAGAAACATATGTTTTGAAAAAAATATCTAAATTTGTTTTCACCGTATCCCAGAGCTCTTGATCAAATTCGATTATTTCAACATATAAGTCCTTAAGCGTCCAAACAATAAAATATGCTGACTTGCAATTTGTAATTGCCATTTGGGAATTAATCTGTGTGTAATATTTATGACACTTATTTAATGTTATTTGATCATTTTTTATTGTAAAGAAATTACATTCACTAGCTCCTTCTTTGATTGTTTTATTAAAAATTTTAAAAGGACATTTAACTTCTAAACACATTCTACCATGACATTTGCATACCATAAATCCATCTGGGGAGCAAGCAATGTAAGGTCTATCATACAAAATAAAGAGACCACTTTTTTCAATTTTTAAATCAGTGTGATTTGATACATGCTCTGCATAAAATTTTTTTATAGCATCTTGCTCATGATCAATTTCCCATTTGATAGAAGCAGTAACAAATGTTTTTTTATGAGGGTATAAAATCTCAGCAACAAGAGGAGTTGTTTTAGGCTTCTTAGAACTTGTATTTCTAGAGTATTAACTTTGGTATATATTCTGTGATGTTTGGATGCAGTTATCCTCCCCTTTCTCATTTGAAACCAGGTATTGCTTTTAGCTTGATCTCTTGTGTTATATTCCACGTTTTTAATTGTTTCATGGGTTAAAACCATTTTTTCTAATAATATTTTCCCTAATGTTGACTCATCAACGTTAGGATGGTCTAAAAGTATTTCAAATGATAGCTTTTCAAGATCAGGATTACTTACAAAATTTTCATCAGATTTTTTTTTTGCCATATTTTTTTATAATTTTGCCCTCCCGAGAAAAACATTAGGTCACGTGATTCATAATTGCCGCTCAATTACGAAAAGGTCTATTCTTTCGTTATCGACACGTCTATATTAACGAAAAAGAAAATAAAAAAAAATACTTAGTTAAAGCAAAAATACAAAAAAATAAATATATATATATAACGCAACTAAAACAAAACTCATCAAACTAAAATGCTTAGTCTATTTAATTTACGCATTAAAAAACCTTTCTTTGTTTCAACATTTTTATATATTTTTTTATTTGTTTAATATGTTCAAAAGTTAAATATTTCTCATAGTTATATAAATAAAGTAAAAAAACATTTTATAAATACTTTTTTTTTTAATTAATTGGAAGTGTTTATTTTTTAACTTCATTAAAAGCGTTTCGATAATATAAAAGCATTTAAGATCAAAACTTATCAAATTGTAACTTTTTTTTTTAACGAAATTTTGTTTATCTTTTTAAATACATTAACTTTAATCATTCTTATATTTAAATTCGTTAAAGAGACTTTCGTAGTCATCGTTTATAAAAACAAAACAATTTTTTATTTTTTAATAAGATTTATTTTAGAAATGAACACTTAAACAATTTATATGTTTTAAATTAAAAAATATATACAACTGTCAATTATATTTAAAAAACAAAACTTTTTTTTAGTAAATTGTTACTTTATTTAAAATCGTTTCGCTAATATAAAAACATTTGTTAAGAAGTTTTGATGTAATTAATATCACTTTTTTAGAATATTTTTCATTTAGCGCGTTTCTACAAAGTTTTATTAAATTAGCCGGTCAAACCGTCATAGCAAAATAAAACTTGCGTGGTCATATAAAGACGTAAAATCGCACGTCTTCCTGTGAAAGCCTGATGTGGCAAACCACGCTTTTGAAACTCAATAACCTGCACATAACTTACAACTTTGCCCAAGACTTTATGCTTGAAAATATCTTCTAAGAAAAATTTAAGTTTTATTTTAAATACCCGACAAGCAAAATCAGGTCTGTCATTAGCAGTTTGGGTTTAATTTTTCTACTATTTCTCTCCATTTTGGATTACAGGTAAAAGTAATGAATAGATCTGGTTTACCATATTTCTTTATGACTGCCATCGCATCTTCAAAGTTTTCTTTTAGTGCTCTTGGACTACCAACATATGAAGAAAGCAATATAACAACGCGGCCTGGCCTTACATTAAGATCATTAGAATGATTAATTACATTTTCATGCAATGCATCATATTGCTCACTTCTAAGTTTGTTTTGGTTATTTCTAATAAAAGCAAGGCGCTGCCCCTCAACTTTAACATATGCATCAACAACGTATTGCTGATTTACCATAGAATATAGGACTAAAAGTTTGTTTAACCGTAAGCCTATAATTATAATAGAGACAAAGTAACATGATTTCTAACACGGGTTGCGCGGTCAGGGTTGTGCTTCAGTTGATTGTGCCATCCAGCATCACCTCTCGGGAAAAATATTGGATATACCATAGGATCTTAATTTGCAGACATAGATGAAATTGTTTTTAAAAGCTGACCTCGAGGATATTTAACAGCTTCCCTGGATGCAGGTGGAGCACCATCATCTCCCACAAACACAATAGCAACCTCCTCATGGGAAGGAAGATTGTATCAACGTCTATCATGACATTCAAGCAAAGACATTCTTAAACAGAAGTTGGTCTACCTTCTAAAGCTGCTCGGCGGATTTCTTCATCATCTACTTCTGTCATGTTTTTAAATGCAAGAGCAAATGGGTTTTCTTTTGATTAATTAATGTTTGCAAAAGTTGCATTAACTCACGCATACAACCATCATTACCAGGTTGCTCCATTCTGAATGACACTGCTGCATTAGGATCATAAATATATAAAAGACAATATTTGGGAAAATTCTGCAGGCCTCAAATACATAAACCATATATGATGCTTAATATAATAATGATGCTTAATATAATAAAAAGTTGAGTTTTTTTTTTTAAGCCAATCTAAAATTAAGTGTAAGCAAATAATATAGAGCATAATATAATAATCTTTTATATTCGACCATATATAGCAACGTGTTAAGATAACACGTTGCTATATATGGTCGAATATAAAAGATAACTTTTATTAAAAGGTTAAACTAAAGTTATAAATAAATTGATATAATCTTTTAAACTGAGTATTGTTACATATTTAAGTTAGTTGTTATTAATTATTGACAAATTATTATTAGTATTTAATCAAAAAAAAAAAGTAAAGTAATTTAAAAAACAAATTTTCTACATTTAAAAACTCATAAATAAAAGCTATAAGGATAAAATGTAATCTATAAGTAATAAAACTATAAGGATAAAATGTAATCATTCATCATTAAAACCCTTTCATTACTTTGAAACACATATTACATGTGTTTCAAAGTAATGAAACACATGTAATATGTGTTTCATTACTTTGAAACACATATTACATGTAATATGTTTTTTAAACACATTTGAAAAACATATTACATGTGGTGTGAGGCACACCACATGTAATATGTTTTTCTTTTTCTTTTTTATTATAAATAATACATTGTGACCTGTTCGCTAGGTAGTCTTCAAACCAAAGAAAATTTTTATTCTTTATTCCATATAGTTCTAGTTTTTTTATAAGTATCTTATAGTTAACAGTGTCAAAGGCTTTCGACAGATCAATAAAAACTCCAAGAGTAAAATAGTCATTATTGAATGCATCCAATACATGATTAATTAGTTCGATTACAGCATGGTTTGTTGAATTATCTTTTTGAAATCCAAATTGTTTACTGTACAGCAAACTGTTTAACATCAAATAGTTGTAAAGTCTGTTGTACATAATTCGTTCCAATAATTTTGAGAAGCAGGGTAAAACGGAAATAGGTATGTAGTTGTTAATATTAGTTTCGTCACCAGATTTCAAAATGGGAGTGATTATGGCAATTTTAAGTTTTTTCGGCACAACACCTAGCTTTAATGAAAGATCAAAAATATGAAATAATGACGGTTCAATGATATCGAAGACTGACTTAACAACATTCACACTAATTTTGTCAATGCCCGCACTTTTATTACTTTTAAGACTGTTGAAAGCATTCCTTATTTCGCTTAGATTTAAATTAGATTCTTCCATTATAGAATTACATGATTTAATGTAAGATTCAAACTTTGTGGTACTTGACGGAATTTTACTTGCCAAGCTCGGCCCTACTTCGAGAAAAAATGAGTTGAGTTCTTTAGCTATTTTTTTTTATCGTAAATCATCTCCCCATTAATTAAAAGCTTTTGTGGGAGATTATTTTTTTCACATTTATTTTTACCAATTATTTGTTTAATTATATTCCATGTTTTTTTAGTGTCGCCGTTAGTTTTTTCCAACAACTTTGTAAAATAAATTTTTTTTGAGTGTTTTTTGTTTTTTTCAAATAAGTTTTTATAGTTTTTGTAGTTTATTTCATTTTTATATGTTTTATGTCTTGAATATTTATCATAAAGTTTTTTTTTTTTTTTTTGATGATTTTATTAATTCCTTGGTCATCCAGGGGTTTAAAAGAGACTTGGATTTTATAACAATTTTTTTAACAGGAAATGCTATGTCATACTGTTTACAGAACTGCGCTAAAAATAGCTCATATGCAGTATTGACTTCATGGGATTGTAAAATAACATTCAAATCAATACTTTTTGTTAAAAGAGTTCGAAAATACAATAAGGAGTTTTCATTGATCTGTCGTGTTAAGATTGTAGTGTTTGAAGGGATTTTATTTAGGGTTATGTTATCAGTAATTAAGAATATTGGAAAGTTATCAGTTAAATCAGTTTTAATTATGCCTGTTCCTAAACGGCAATTTTGAAAATTGTTAGTAATTATATTATCAAGTAGTGACGATGAGGTCTTAGTTATTCTCGTTGACTTATTTATTGTTGGTATTAGGTTATATTCTATAAGAGTATCTAGAAAATGTTGAACATTTGCTTAAATAAGTTTTAAATTTTCTTAAACTACCAGCTGGTTGTCTATAAATAGAAGTAATTACAATATTTTTGGTGATTTTGTTTATAATTTCTATGCACAATGACTCACAATCAGTTACATTAATATTGAGGTCAGGATGTAGAATAAAGCTAATTGATTTGTGGACAAAAATACTTATACCCAGTGGGCATGGGCGTAAAAAAGACGTTTTTTAAACATCTTATGCACGTTTCGGACGTCTTTTGAACGTCTTTTCAACGTTTTGGACGTTTTTTCAACGTTTTAAATTCGTGGTTTAGTTGATGCAGTAAAAGTTTGAGATTTTCAAAATTTTTGTTAATACTTCGAATGTTTATATTTAAAATAGAAAATGTATTTTTGTTTTTACAGAGATATTGAGTAGATTCAGAAATTGAATAATACTCGCTTTCTAAATTTTTTCCATTAAAATAGTTATCATCACTAGCATTCTCATCATTTAAATTAAGTGAAAAATTGGCCTCCATTTTTAAGAGAAAAATTAATATAATTAAACAAAGTAATATATAAAAAGTAAAATAAAATTGTAGAATATATTAATATGTTATAAAGAAAAATTTTTACTTTTGTTTGCAGCCCAATCCCGAATAACCAACTTATCGTAAGAGATAAATGCATATTTCCCAGCCGCTCGTTCAACTTTCATCTGTTCCCGTAGAGCTTTCCTAATTGTGACAGTTTCGGCGCAAAAGTCTTCGTTAATATAAATATTTTTACCTTTTAATTGAGATGTTTTTTTTAAAATTTCAACTTTATCTTTATAATCTAACAGTTTTACTACAATTGTTCTTGGTTTGCTCATATCTCTCTAGCCAGTTCTATGAGCTCTTTCAATCCAAATATTTGTTAATCCCAAATGATCTTCAAAAACTTTACTGAATTTTAATTCACTTTCAATCCATGTTTCACCTTCGCTTTCTTTTAATCCGTCAACCCTTATATTGTTTCTGCGAGATCTATCCTCCATCTTTCTTAGTTTACTTTTTATTTTAACATAGTCGGAACTATGATTTAGCTTATCGATGCCAGATGTATGTTTTTTTTCCTGAGAAGCAATTGTGGTCTTAATTTTTTCTTCAAAAAGATGTTCGTGAAAGTTTAAGCTTCGTTTGATTTCTTCTACGTCTTTTTCTAACGTCTTTATATGTTTTGCATAATCATTAACCTTTAGATCTACTTTATCTAACTTATCATATATAATTTTTGTGTTGGCGCTTAAAATATTTAACACGTTTTTTTCCTACTGCTTCATCATTTCGTCTATTTCGTTCTTAAATTCTTTAAACATTTTTTGTATCGTTTTTTTTACATTATCCATTGTAATAGCCATAATTAACCAATATGTTAATATATAAAAATATTTATTTATTTATATTTGTTTATTTAAATAATTCCAAACAATCAAAAAAAGTTTTTTTTTTTTTTTTTTTCAAATTTCAAATTTCAAAATAACCACGCTGCAGAAACACGTTAATTCACCACAATCATATATTTGCTTTACGTGAAGCAACTCAGAAATATTGAAAATTGTTTAATTATTTTAATTTTTTCAGATATCTAATATTCTAATGAAAAAAAGTCAATAATATATATTCTATACATATAATATATGGATAGACACTTTAATTTTATTGTATATGTGTCATATATATATATATATATATATATATATATATATATATATATATATATATATATATATATATATATATATATATATATATATATATATATATATATATATATATATATATATATATATATATATATATATATATATATATATATATATATATATATATATATATATATATATATATATATATATATATATATATATATATATATATATTTATATATATATATATATATATATTTATATATATATATACAGTGGCGTTCCTAGTTATGGTGTCACCCGGGGCGGCAAATAGGGTGTCACCCATATATTATATGTAATTATTTTTATATACGAAATTATTAAAGCAGTATTTAGAAACGTTGACACATGTAATTTTAAACCTTGTTTTCGACAATAATAATTTAGCGTCTATAACTCTCTATAAATAATTCTTGTCTATAATAGAGAAAATAATTATTTGAAAATAAATTGTTGCCAAATAATTATTATCTCTGTTTTAGACGATAATAAATTATTATCATCTAAAATCGTCTAAAATCAGCTTTATTCTTTTATATGCTTAAAAAAACAGTAGTACCTGGATTTGATTTGATAGTAAAGTATAATAATAAAATAGCAAACCTACTGATTTTTTAACTTCTTATCTGTGAAAAATAAGTTAAACGTTCACTTACCCTTTGTTAAATACGCAGATCTGTCCTATAAATGAATCTATGCCACTGATGTGTATAACAACATATTAATGTACTTAATTATTTACTATCTATATGAGCTAAATATATTTTTTAAAATAATATGCACAAAAGTTTGAACTTTGTATAGTTTTTATTCACTATGCAATTACTACACTAATTTTTATTCACAACACTAAATTTTTCAATCATTAAACTAAATTTTTCAATCACTAAATTAATTTTTTAATCACTAAACTAACTGGTTTTATCAGTAAACTAAATTTTTCAAACACTAAACTAAATTTTTTAATCATTATATAATTATTATCCTAAATTTTCATAACACTTAAATGTTTCTTTTTTTACTTTTAAACTTGCAAATTTATCAATTACGTTATCAAAGTCAATGCTTTTGACAAACTCACTCTCTATATATAATATTGCAAGATCAGAAAGTCTTGATTGGCCTATGGTTGATCGTAAATAATTTGTTATCAGTATTAATTTTGAAAAGCTCCTTTCCCATGATGCAACGGACACGCAAATAGTTAAGAATAATCTTAGGGTGAGAGAAAGCATTGGAAGCGTTTCTGTCCCATTCTGTGATGAAAGTCAAAATATCTAAAGCTGCCCAATTTTTAACTACTTCCAAATTAATTCTTGCTGCTTTAAGATGTCCCTTGAGTCGTGGAATTTCAAAAATTAGTTCATAATGGGATATTTCATCATAGAATGAAGTTAATTTTTTAATAGATAACGTCAAGTCTTCTTCATTATTATGTTCAGAAACTAAAAATTTAGCTTGAACACATTCAAACATACCTAAAATATTTTTTAATGGTTTTGATCTTGCTTGAAGTTCAACATTTAGACAATCAATACATTCATACATAGTTCTTTTATTTTCTTCTTCTATTGTGAGTTTAGTATCACATATCAATTCTCCCGCCATCTTCTTTCTCAATCTTATTCTTCTCTCAATTGGAATATCGTGTTCTTTTGATACACAAAGTGCTTTATTTAGTGCCTTGTCAACTACATTTTGCCTTTCTTCGTTTAAAAAAAGACTAAGAGCTTCTATTTTTATTATAACTTTATCAAGAGATAGACCTTTTGTCTGTAGATAAATTTGAGTATTATTTACTTCTTCCAGTATATCGTGCCAAAAATACAAAAAGCATAAAAATGTATATTAACACACTGCCGGCAAAAGAGATTCAGCTGCTCCTCTTGTATCTAAATTTTCATTGGTACTGCAAAGAGCTTCAATTGCTTCTATAAATTTTTCAAAATTCTCTTGAAGAGGTTTTACGGCGTTATAATGTGCACTCCAACGCGTGGTCGACAGTCTTTTTACTGATATATTGGTATGCTTTATTAACACTTCCCACCTATGCATAGAACCAGCAAAAAACGAATAAATTGCATCAATTGTTCCAAAAAATGTGACGCAAGATGCATTTACTGCAAAAGAATGCTGACCACATAAATTTAGGGAATGATCAATACATCCATTAAAAATTGCCTTATTATTTTTATCAGAAATAATTTTCTGTACACCTCCGTGGATTCCAGCCATTGTAGCAGCATTATCATAACCCTGGGAGCGGCACATCATTATATCTAACCCATCAGATTCTAATTGTTTAAGTATTTCAGTACTTAAGTCCAGAGCCTTTTTTCCTTTTAATGGAAAAAATCCTAAAAATGACTCTTTTATTTCTACCTTTTTATTTTCAATTTTAATATATCTGATCACCTCAGACATTTGATCCACGTGAGATATATCAGGATTGCTATCAAGCACCATGCCAAAATATCGCGCGGATTTTATTTCTTCAATAAGTTTGTCTTTTACGTGACTTGCCAGACAACTGATAAATTCATTTTGAATTTTTGGGGAAAGATACGAAACCTTGGAATAACTTTCCCTTAATTTAATTAAATGCTTCTTTAATATAGGGTCATACGTTGAAAGCAAATCCACTAATTCTAAAAAATTACCTTTATTCAAAGACGATTCATCCCCTGATGTCCACGAAATGGCAAATTTTGCTTAGCAAGAAACAAAGTTACATCTAAGAGCCTATATAAGATGTTTGGCATTTTTTCTTTTCATTTTCTGTTAAAGAAATAATTTCGGCATTGATTGTATTATTAGATTTTAAATTTGTTTCCAGAATCTTCCATTTTTCCAAAAATCGCAAATAATTGTCAGATGATTCATGCTCATATACTTTTGGATTTAATTTCCACCGTTTTTGAAATCCAGTGACGAATTTTGATGTCAAATTGGTAATATTACTGACAAATAATCGACAACAAAAACAGAATAAATTTCCACTGTTGGGTGAATATACCATTCATTAACTTTTTTCACCATTTTTCATTTGTTTATAAAACCATTCAGAGGAAAGATGACGATCATGGCCTTTCATTTGAGTGACATTTCGTTGTACTGCATTAAATGGTCCATCTTTGTTTTAAAATGTACAGGGGTGGGACCGCAAAATGTGAACGTTTTTGTTTTATTATAACTATTTTCTCGTTAGATGTAGTTGAGTTTATTTGATAAAAAACGAAAGACAAAGTACTAATGAATATGTAAACAAAGTAAAATATAATATGTAAAAAAACAAAAATTGAACATTTAAAATAGTTCATATTTATCAGAAAATTAATTATTACAATCAGAAAAGTGTTCACATTTTGCGGTCCCACCCCTGTAGAACTTCCCTTTTTAATAATCTCAATTCGAAGATGGTCTTGAAGCGGTAATTTCCAAAAAGAGACGTCAGAAAAGATTTTAAAGTTAATTTTTCCATCATGTTTCTCTAAATCGGTGATTTCTAATACTTGTGGAGATTGAGCTTTATTTTCTTGGTCGCTTTTTTCCATGTCAACAGTGAAGGTGCTATTAATTTAAAACTTACAATTTAAGCATTAAAAACTTTTTAAATTAAATGGTATTTATTAAGCACTAAAAACGAAAAATTAAAACAATTAATAATATACGATATTGTTTCAAAATGTATCTATTACAAAGTTACTATAACTTATTCACAAATTTTATAAAATTTTCAGTAATATGTAATATGACAAATTTTTAAAATTGTTATCATAAACAAAAAATATGTTTTCGAATGTTTTAGTTCGAATTAGATGGTTTTGATATTCTGCAATGTGATGCAGTACTAACATTGAAAAAATATAAGAATAAGACTAAGAAAGCTGAAAAAGTGAAAAACGGTTAAAATCGCACCCACACAAAGTTATCCAAACCCAAACAAAGTTTGAGTATGTTATGATTATGAAGAATTTTTTTAAACGACATTGAGTCTTTATTTCATTTTGTTTATATTATAAGAAGAAAGCTAAACAATTATATTTTCTAAATAATGATAACTATATCTTTCAGCATTCAGCATTTCGTAGGTCGTGTAAATAAATACCCATCTTTTAAACAAATTTACTCAAAAAGTAACAGTATAAAAATTATTTAATAAAGTATAATATCTGTTCAATAAAAGTTACTTAAAATTATAAATATTAAGAAAATTATTATAGATCTCAAAAAACTATATATCTTTCAAATTTCTTATAAACACATTCTTTCAACAATTTTTTTTAACACTTTTTATGACTACACTAACTACAAACAGATTTAATTTATGTATTTCATCATAACAGTACTGTTACTGTTTGGCGTGTAACAGTACTGTTATAGTACTGTTACACGCCAGTTAAGTGGTGTACTGCAGTACACCACTTAACTGACGTGGAAAGCTATCTTGCTTATAACAAAGCCAAGTCACATTATAGCAAAGTACACCACTTGGCTAGCAAAACCAACACTATTGCTGTAAACTAAGCCAAGTCACAACAATTTGAAAAGATATTTAGAAACACATAAATGTTATTTACACTCTTACAAAATATAAACCCATATAACCTAAACACATAAACATAAATAACACATAAATATAAATTAATTTATATAAAAATATATAAATCAAAAAAATATATAATTTAGAATCTTTACAAATACAACCTTATTTTTGTTTAATGACATACCTCGTATAATAAAATTTATTATTTAATGTTTAACAACTTGGAAAAAGAAACGATCTGGTTTTTTATAAAAGCGAGCTTTTTTTTTAACTTCTTTAAAGGTAAGGGATTTAACGTTGTTCTTTCTTGTTCTTTCTAACGTGTAACTATGTGAGATGCAAGATATATATATATATATAAATATATATATATATATATATATATATATATATATATATATATATATATATATATATATATATATATATATATATATATATATATAAGCGAAAATTCACAACAGGCGCAGTACTGCGCCAGTACTGTCTAATACTGGCGCAATACTGGTAGCCAGTACTGGTTCGGCACTGGCATTTATCTGGGATGATAACGCTTCGCCAGTAGTGGATGTCCAGTACTTAACCATTGCTGGCACCTGGTAATGGCATATTACTGTCTAATCAAAAATTCACAACAGGCGCAGTACTGTGCCAGTAAGAACTATAGTTCTTACCCAATGTTAGCAGCTGATATTAAAATAGTACTTTCTTGAAAAATTAAAGTCGCGCTCTATTAGCATCATATCTATCAGGTTTTGGCGTTGTCGCGCCAAACCTGTTATCAGAGTCTGAAAATCATAATACACACACACACACACACAGACACACACAGACACACACAGACACACACACACACAATTGACACTATAGTATAAACTTTAAAAGACAATCTTTTATTACAAAAATTATATTATTTATACTTTTTAAGTAAATTTTTTTTGTATTATTATAAATAGATAAAATTATAGAATTTCGTCTTCATTTTCAATATCCTTTCGCTCTTCACGACTTTTTTTATTTTAATAATCGGTATCTCTTTCCACCATCTCTATCCTATGCACCTGAAAACCAGCGACTTATTTGACTTGAAATTTCTTTTTCATTTATGTCAGGAAATTTCATTGTAACTACTTCTATAATAAAGATCTAAACTGTGTATTTAGGGGTTTAGTAAGAAGTTACATACTACATATAAATTATGTAATATGTAGATTAATCTACATATTACATATGTAATTACATATTACATATGTAGTTACATATGTATTTTAATTACATACATATGTAATTACATATTAAATATAAAAGAGATTACATATAAATAATATTTTATTCGTGTTTGCTAAAGTTAAAAATAAGACAATATACCTAGCAAATATTTGTAAGTTTCTGTACCAGAGAAATTTAGCTTTTTTATACCGTTTGATTCTCGTCCAAAAGCACTGAATAGCACTTGAATATTTGGTAAAATAATCTTAGAAATTATAAAAGAAAAATTTTCCGAAAGTTTTAATGTATTTTTCACATTTAACATGATAAAGCATTTCTAAAAGAAAGAAAATTTTAATCTATATATAAAATTTATATACAAAATAATTAAATATAATATTAATTATAACAAAAATAATTTTTAATAATACAATATTTCGTAGCAGACTTAACACTAATATTTCTAGCATTTTTTGAATCAGTACTAAACTATTTACCAGTTTTTGCATCATTACTAAATCAGTCTTCAATTTATTATCAAAATCAAGGAAGCTTTCTACATGGTTGAATGGTAATTCGTTAATTGTCTGTTCGGTCATTATTTTTTGAATATCAACTGTGTAATTGTGAAGACTAAACAACGTTCCTGTGATTTTCGCTTCCTCTCTAATACGATATTCGATACTTCTCCTAGCAGATTCCAGATTAGCTTTCGATGCAGGAGCACCTTTAGCTTTAGTCATAAAAATATAAATTTTCTTATTAGTAAAGAAAAACCACCATTCATTTTAAATGAATAAATCGTTAATTATTATTACATTATTATTGTCATTTTTTTTTATTGTTATAAATGAATAAATGTTATAATAAATTCCATTTCGACACTGGTGTGGTTTAAACATAAAGCTTCCATAATGTCATTTTCTTAATAAGGTGAAAAGTTAAATTAATTATTTACAATGAATTAAGAATTATAGGTAAAAACATTTCTGACAATATCCTTACCTGCACAGCCACATGTAGGACAATACTTATAATTTCGATTTAGTATCACATCTAAAAAAATATTGTCAGAATTTTACTGAGAAAGCAATGATCAAAATTCTGGAAATGATTTCATTAAAAAATATTAAAATAACATTTACATGTAAGAAAGAAAACTAAGAAATATATTGCATTATCTTTTTTATTCATTTTATCTTCGTTTATACTTTTCATAGAGTTTTCATGTGATATACTGGAGTTCTTTATCATTTCTGAAAATAATTAACTTTTTGAATAATAAAAATTTCTTCAACACATTTTTTTGTGGTTTAACAATAAGGGTTATTTTTAATTATGATTTTTTTTTTTTGATTAAAGAAAGCATACGGTTTAGTTTCACTGGTTTACATTTAGAGATCAATATTTTCTTTATTTTCGGAGACGAGAACAAGGAATCATTAGATTCTTTATCACAACACGACGATCGCTTTTTCCTTACTTCAAAGGAAACAAAAGACTCTTTTGAAATATCACTATCTCCACTGCTTTCAATACTATGATCTAAAACAGACAAGATATAGATATCTAGAAATGGTCTCATTAAAAAATATTAAAATAACATTTATATGTAAACCAAGAAATATATTGCATTACATTTTTTATTTATTTCATCTTCGCTTAAATTTTTTCTGGAGTTTTCATGTGATATACTGGAATTCTTTATCATTTCTAAAAATAATAAACTCGTTGAATAATTAAAATTGCTTTAACACAATAATGGTTATTTTTAATTATAATGATTTTTTTTTTCGATTAGAGAAAACATACGGTTTTGTTTTGCTGGGCTACATTTAGAGGTCAATATTTTCTTTATTTTAGGAGATGAGGACGAAGAATCATTAGATTGTTCATCACGGCATGACGATCTACTTTTTTTTACTTTAAAAGAAACAATGGATTCATTATGCTCTAAATCAGATCAGATATAGATATCATTAAAAAAAGCCAGCAAAACAGTAATAAGGTTAAATAAATCTTTTGATTTTTTATGTTTTAATTTTTTTTTGAAAAAAAAAAACTTATATAAACTTAAAATCATACCTTTAAATGAAGAGATATCTTTTGAAGATGCTTTAATCTCAGAGCTGCTTAATTTAACAGGAGCAGATTCTTCTTCTGAACTGTTCAAATCTTCAAAATTACTGCTCTGAACTACAAACTCAGAGCATGCACTAATCATGCGTCGCAATCCTTGTTCATAGCTTTCTATAATGTAAATAAATAACTTTATATATGACAATATTAAAGTTATAATGCATTTAAAATTGATTACATAAAGAGTTTCATTACATACTTTTTAATTAAAATAATTTCAAAACCTTTCCTTTCCACAAAACTCCTGGTATAAATGACATTTTACTCATATTTTCTAGTACATGATACTCGTTTTCAGATGGGTATTTACAGAATAATTTGTCTCTGTATGTTATTTAAAATTTTATAAATTATAAAACAAATTTTGCTATTATCACTTTTCTTTAATTTACTGTTACTAAAGCTTTAGTAACATTAAATTAAAGAAAAGTGATAATAGCAAAATTTGTTTTATAATTTATGAAATTTTAAACAACATACGGACTGATAATCAAAATTTACCAAGACAAAGATGAAAAAACCCAGTAATATAGACCTGTTTTTAACAGAACATTTAACAATAGTTTTTTAATAAGAATTTGCTGCATTTTTCAAAGTGAATGGTAAAGGTGAATTATACTGTTTACGATAATTAGTTATTGTAAAAGAAACATGTGCTTGAATTCTGGCAGATTCTTTTCACGAGGCTCGGAAATCGGTATTATGCCAACGCTGGATTAAGGTATTAGTCCAGTGCTATTTTTCAGCACAGGCGCAGTAATGTCTTACATTTTAATCAGTACTTCGCCAGCACTGGCCGGCCAACTATTGGTAAGCCAATACTGGCGCAGTACTTTGCCTGTTGTAAGGAATGGCGCAATGCAAAATTTTCTGGTTGGGTATATATATATATATATATATATATATATATATATATATATATATATATATATATATATATATATATACATATATATATCCGTATATATATATATATATATATATATATATATATATATATATATATATATATATATATATATATATATATATATATATATATATATATATAACACTAACTTTATCAAGAGTTAGACCTCTTGAAAAGAGCATCGTCTTTTAGAGTCACCATCGTCTTTTAATTAAAAAATTAAAATTATTACTAATTATTACTTAATACTAACTAAGTTGATGAAGCAAAGTTTTCGATCTTATTACTGATTAAACAGATATTAACAGACTCATCGCGTGGTCAAAAAGAGAAATATCTAAATGGCCATGCAAGCTCATAAAACTCCGTGTAAAAACGCGCACGAATGGTGAGCATTCATCGGAAGCGTTAAGTTATTAATATTTATAGATGAAATTTGATATCAAATGTATAACATTTGTCTCTAGTTAATATTTAATTGCATTAAAGCAAACGAGCAATTATTTTTTATTACATCCGCCGGCGGGAGGCAAACATTCCAGAATTTGGTGGCCGCAGCCAGTTAGGAGACAGAAGCCATTAGAAGCGGCCTCCAAATGATTCTGTTTCCACAATTTTGTTTTGGGGCGGCAACCAATGGCTTCCACCTTCCTAATGGCTTCGGCCTCTAAAACATTTTGCCTTTAAAAAAAAACTCTGGCTGCGGCCACCAATAGAAGAGCAGAAGCTACTGGAGTCGGAAGAATTAACATTTTGCAGCTAAAACGAGAAGAACGAGAGGCCGCCGCTTACAGCTCCCGCCTCCCTAAAAAATTGGCTTTTTGGCAGAAAGTTACTTTGCCGCCTGGCGGCATTATCAACTCAATTTTAATTAACATAAAAAATAAAAAAAAAAAAAAAAAGAAAAACGAACCCACAAGCAATATCAGTCTATTTTAAATATAAAAAGATTTGTTAAACACATCAATACATTTAAGTAAAAAACTAACCCGTAAGCAGTTTATAAGCAAATCTTTATAAAAGGTTCCTTTTTATTTACTTTAACGTCGAAGTAAGTTGAGGAAGAGCGCATGTTAAGTGAGCTCCAATCACTACTTTGACAGCGTACTTCACTTAGTCTAAGCTTAACTAAACAGTATGTATATTGCACTCTCCAACATCGTGTGCAATCCTGTCATCTTACTCTATACTATCTTTCTAACTCGACTACTTCTATCTATCACTCTAACATATCTTCGTACTTCTCAAAATCACCTTACTCTCAGTCCGTAGAGCAGGTTTGACGCTCCTTCGGTAGCGCAACTAGTCTTTACGGACTTCAGGTAAAGTGACCTCTATATGGTAATTAGCCGGAGGAGGTAAAACCACAATACCAGAGCGCATGTTCAGTGAAAGAAAAGATTATTACTTTTAAAAGTAAGTGAATTATATATTTTTATATGAGTTATGTAAGTAATTTACGCATAAAAGTAAATCGCATTTTTATATCAAAATAAGTAAAAGTGCCATCCCTAGTTTTACCACGCAATAAGATAGTCAGAGTGTCGATATTTCCCGTAAACTACAAGTTGTAATGTGTTATGTAGTTGCAATCTATTATGCAGCTATAATGTATTATGTAGTTGTAATGTATTATGTAGTTATGATGTACTATGTAGTTGTAATTTATTATGTAGTTGCAATGTATCATGTAACTGTAATGTGCTATGGAGTTCTAAAAAGTATTGTGTTGTATAATAAGATACTTTACGATATATTTAAGATACTTAAATAGCTTTACACAATTGCGGTGAATTTTAATGCACTTGTGTTAATTTTTAAGGTACTTAATAAAGTGTAAGCCCGTGCCGATTTATAATGTCATAACAACTGATACCTTTAAGAATGACATTCAAAAATGTATTTTAAATTCTAACTTCTAACATCTAAATTCTAACATCTGACCATTTCTGACACTTACCTCAAACTATTTGGCAAGTAATAAAAAGAAGAAAAAAATAAGTAACAAAGGAAATTACTAGCAAATAAAAAATCTATTCATGAATCAAAAGCTATATCTGATGAAGTTAATATATTCTTTATCGAAATCGGTCCTAGAATAGCTGTTAAGATTAACTATACCCCAGCTGTCTTTAATCATTTTTTTTGTGCAGTAGTTAATTGCAACTGTTACAAAGAAATATACTCAGAATTATCTTTTAATGAATTGGAAATTGCTTTTAAAGTATTAAAAAAAAAACAATCGGAGCTGATGGAATTAATGGTGACATAATTATCGAGTGTTTTGATCACTTAGAAGATATTCTTTTTAAACTTATAAATCATTTATTCTACCGCGGGGTTTTTCCAAAACATTTAAAAACCGCGTTTTCTTTAAAAAGATTCCAATATACATTAGCTGTTTTAATTAACTTGTTGGACGCATTCAAAACCATAAAATCTTGCTCAAAAAACTGCAGTATTACGGAATAAACTGTGTAACTATTAAATGGCTTCAAAGTTACCCAGCAAACATTCTATAGCGGAATTTCAGTGAACCTAAATATACATTTTAAGCGGTCCACTGTAGTTTTGCTCATCGGTTACTTAGTTAGCTATTAGTGGCAATCGCCAAAAAGGGCTAGCCAATATTAACATGTTGGAAAGTTATTGGCTGACCGATTATTGCGACAAAATAAATAATACTTTATTGTCGTGGAGAAAAGTGTTTAGCGGAGTACCTCGGGCTTCGGTTTAAGGACCGCTCCTTTTTATGGTCTACAATAACGGTTTACCGGACTTAATTTTGAGTCATATAAAAATGTATACAGACGACAGGAAGATCATATAGGTATTACCAAGTGTGAAAAAGATGCATTACGTCTTTAAAAAGATCTTGACACAGCTGTTAAATGGTCTAAAAATGGCTTATGCCATTTAACATTGAAAAATGCAAAGTTATGCGAATGAGCAAAAAAAAAAAATGAGCCAAACCATATATACACAATAGAATCAAAAAATGGTCATCGCAGACAATTCGAAATCACAGCAAAAGAATGCGATTTGGGGTTGAGCACGTGGCTGAGCACGCAGCTGCAGTTGGAAATAGAGTGCTATGGAAATTTAAAAAAAGATTCAGAAGTCGTGGTTTAACTCTTTGGGGTTTCCTTTTATACTACTTATATCCGACCATTATTAGAATTGGCCATCCCAGGAGATATAAATACAATTGAAAAAGTTCAACATTGAACCACAAAATGGATTAAGTCAATAAGTCACCTAAATAACGAGGAACGTTTAACACGGTTTAATTTGACTACCTTTGACCACACCAGCGCAACAAAAATTTAAGTATACTTTAAGAATAAGGAGCCATGTCTTTGAACTAACCGTCGAAAAAAATTTGAAACATTATATAAATTTGTAAATAACAATAAATTTGTAAATAACAATTATTGATGACTGAATAAATATACAACTACAAAAATTAAGTGCTAGTTATCTTCAAGTTGTGATAACAGAAATATTTTTCCATCAAAAGATTTTTGGTACGGTCTATCATTAGTAGATAAAGCAGTTTGTTCAAGTACTAGTGGTGAGTTGTTTTGTTCCTTGAGAATGCAGAGAAACTCGTGTTTAAAAGTTTGTAGGGCTTTTTTAAAAAACTTCTTTAGGTCCAGAAAATTAACGCTGTTTAGATTGGTTTAGTTTTTTATTTGGAATCCAATGTTTTTGAATGGTTCGATAGTTTTTCTTTTCTTTCTAATTTTTTCTTATTGCGGAGCGGTTTTGTATCGCATTACCATTAATCCGTCGTCTTGGTAAAAGTTTAAGATAACGTTGTAATGATTCTAGAAAAACTCAGTAGGAGAAAAGACATCGAAAAGACGTCTTTACAAGTCTTATTTAGGATGTCTTTAAGACGTCTTTTTTTAATTGATAATGCAAATCTAAAAGACATCTTTTTTCGAATCGAAAAGACGTTTTTTTTATCTTAATCTTGTCATGGAAAGACATAAAAAATGCGTCTTTAAGACGCCTTTTTTTAGTCGAATATGCACTTCTAAAAACGTTTTTTTGCTCGGAGTCAAAACGACTTTTTTTGTCATACTTATTAGTATACTATAGTATCCTATAAAATGACAAAAAGCTCTTTCCGATGCCGAGAATAAAACCTCTTTTAGATGTCAATATAAAAGAGGAAGCATTTTCTATATCTTTTATATGTTTAAATATAGGAGATTAATTTATAAATAAAACAGTAGTATTGTTCAACAGAATATTTTTTCATCTTTCTCTTTCTTTCCTGTTTCTTGAGCGAGCTCTGTTTCTAAGAGTTGTTGAATAAAATTAACTATTTCACGTCGAGAAATCCTTTAATACGAGCTGGTTACGACTTCTAAAAAACGAGTGAACATAAAAAACAGTCTATTGCTTGAATGTAATACAAAAAAGCAAATGAAACTTGATTAGCTGAGTGAAATAACATTAGACTTCGTTCAAAAAGGGACATTAGTTCAAAAAGGGACAATCCTTTTAACCCCCTCCTGTTTCCAGCGTGGTTCTTTCTTTTTGAACCCACTAGGTTAGATTGGGACAGAACGGTAAACAGTCTAAAAATATATAAAAATGAGTGTGCTAAAGAAAATTACGACCATCAAAATGACTGAAAAACGATGTATTTTATTATGTAGTACATAAACCAAGCTAAACATTTGCAACTCTCAGATTTGCTATGAAAGCCAAGTTATTGAAAACAGATATTGATATTTTTCTGTCTTCTATGACATGACTTTTTAATTGAATTTTCATGAAATTAAGTGTTGTAGACTCATAACAATTTAAAAATCCTTTATTGAATAACGGCTATCAAAACAAAAAGATAATTCAGCTAATACACCTTGAGAGTTGTTATTCATCTAAACTGGATAAAAGTATTAACCAAAGCTCTATTTTAGCCTGAAACATAATGATTACCTAACAACATTAAATCATAAAAACTGGCGATATCATTAGCAACACAGATGAAATACACATAAACAAAAATGAAGACTAGAAAGCTGCGATGATGTTTAGATATAAGAAAGTGTATCTTTTCAGTACCATTTTCACTTGGTCTTTTGTATTCAAACCAAAAGTTTTGCAAACAGTTCTAAAGATAAAACTGTTGTCATTATGTGCAATTTTTTACTTGCTTTGTTAATGACAGACAACAGTTAACAAAAAAAAAATAACAACTTTAACATAAAAATTAAAGAGCCAATCTTTTGTATAAACAATTTTATCATTTAACTAAATAAAAACAACAAAATTATTCAGATCTTTTAAAAATATAAAAAAAAAATTGCAAGCCTACTGAATGCTTTTTCTTTTCTATCGTTCGTTTCACTGGCACTTGAACAAAACATCTTCAAGCACAACACATTAAACAAGTAAAAAAGTAAATATATTTTTCGTCTGATATAAATATTTTAATTTAATAGGTAATAAACAACGTTCTTCAAGCACAACTCATTATAAAATTAGTCCAAAAATAAACGGTAAAATTTTTTTAAACACTTACCTGCAACTAACTTAATCAAGACTAGATCATATCGATAATATTCAACTGGCACCACGGAATCCACTTTTTGCTTCTTCCAATTAACATTTTCTAGCTAAACAGCTGCAATTATATATATATATATATATATATATATATATATATATATATATATATATATATATATATATATATATATATATATATATATATATATATATATATATATATGTATATATATATATATATATATATATATATATATATATATATATATATATATATATATATATATACAGGCGCGGATGCAGCATCTTTTGATATTTGAGATACCTAACTTCCAGACACGGAGCAAACTCCAAAAATTTATATGTTTATAGTTATATCAAATAAGAACGCTTTGCAAAAAATTGCAATGATTCGAGCCTGGGAACAAAAAAGCCCTAAAATTTTAGCTACACCTGCCCCAAACGTGAGAGCAACAAGTTGATAAAATATTTTTTCTACTATTCTCAACCAAGTATATATTCATCAACAAATTTTAAAACTCACACAATAATCTCTTAGCGTTCAACAATTATGGCCTTATAAAGTTTGCAACCCCCTCAAATTGAGGGGGGTTCAAACTTTTTATGGTCATAATTTTTGAACGCTAAAAGATTTTTGTATTAATTTTAAAATTTGTCGATGAATATAGATTTAGTTAAGAATAGTATAAAAATTATTTTATCAATTTATTGCTCTCACGTTTGGGGCAGATGCAGCTAAAATTTTAGGGCTTTTTTGTTCCCAGGCTCCAATCATTGCAATTTTTCGCAAAGCGTCCTTATTTGATATAACTATAAACATATAAACTTTTGGAGTTTGCTCCGTGCCTGGAAGTTAGGTTTCTCAAACATCAAAAAATGCTGCATCCGCGCCTGATATATATATATATATATATATATATATATATATATATATATATATATATATATATATATATATATATATATATATATATATATATATATATATATATATATATATATATATATATATATATATATATATATATATATATATATATATATATATATATATATATATATATATATATAGTATATATATATATATATATATATATATATATATATATATATAATATACATAATATATATGCATATATATTATGTATATTTTACATAATATATTACGTTATTATATAAATTATAAAATAAACTTGCTTACCGAAAATTGTTAATTTTTAATTTAAATTTCTTATGCAAAAACGTTTCACATAAAAAAAGTTTTATAAAAGTATTTTGTAAACAAAAAACAGGCCAATCAGAACGTTACAAAGATAATAATTACGATACTGTGGGTTAAAACCCATCTTTGTTAGGTTCTATTGGCAATAATAATTTTTAATTTTCTTAAGCAAATAATGATTTCCTTATTAACAACAAAAGTTGCTAATAAGCAAATAATAATTTGTTTATTATAATTATAATAAACAACCCATGATTTGCTTATTAACAACCTAAGCTGTTTCTCAGTGGGAAACGTTAGTGACTTTTCCCCTCCTTGAAGAAAAAATATTTATACTGGGTAATGTTTAATTTAACATTTAAATAAAAATTTTCTCATTCCATTTTTTTAAAGGTCATTTATATAAAAGACGTCTTTTCAACGTTTTATTAAAGGCGTATTACCGATTGGCGTCTTTTCGACCTCTTTTGAAGACGTCTTTTAATAAGACGTCTTTTCCACGTCTTCATTAGAGCTAATTTTAAAAAGACAGAACAAGTCATAAAAAAGACGTCTTTTATTTGTCTAAAGATATCTTTTTTCCCACAGGGAAGTCTCTAAAATGTAACTAACCAGTTCACACACACTTCACGCCCTATCAAAGCATTTTATCGTGATGTCCAAACATTCGTTAGCTTAATTGTTTCGTGGTTAAAGAACAATAAAAATTTTAAAAAAAGAAAATTTTTCTTTTTGGTATGACCCTGACCCTCCTGGAACCTTACCACCACTGTAGTACGCTCCGCAATTGTTAACCTTCTGCTCCTGGCAAAAGTTTCTGTTCTCTACAAAAGTTAAAAAAAAAATCAGAACTTTAAAATTGTGCAATGAATTAAATTTATTAATGTTTAGTACTAAAAGAAACATTATCGCAATAAATTACTTAAAAGATATAGGGAATAATTTTATAATTTTTCCCTAAAACGTTTGTTACGATAATTTTCAATTTTTCAAGCTGTAAATATAAAAAATGTTTCACTTTATTCAGGATTTATAGACTTTTTTATTTTAATACTTTACTACATTTAAAATGTTTGTCAGTAAACTTTACATGCAAAATTTACTGACTTCTTGTTATTCAATTTTGTCGACTACGAGGGGTGTGTCACAAAAAAATTCACAAAAACTTAAAAAGATTTAAATAAATACAAAGTTTGCATCAATTTAAAATTGGCGCCAAGTGCATAAAAATAAATAATAAAAATTTATTCTTTACATGGCGCCACCTAGTGCTACATTATTGCAGCAAAATAAGAAAAATAAGCATTCTTTATGGAAAACTTTGTAACAGCACTGCATAATATATATATATATATATATATATATATATATATATATATATATATATATATATATATATATATATATATATATATATATATATATATATATATATATACATATATACATATATATATATTGATCCAAAATAAAAACAATAGAGGTTTTTATAAAACATTACTTGAAACGGAATTATATTGGATCTTTATAGACATTTTGAGTGGTCTGCTGTAGTTTTGCTCATCGGTTACTTGGTGGACTATTAGTGGTAGCCGCTAAATGTGGGCAGCCTATGACTAGCCACCATAAACATGTCGGAATGTTGTCGGCTGGGCATTTACAGCGGCTGCCACTATTGGTCCGCTAAGTAACTGATGAGCAAAACACGAATAAACCGTTAAAAAAAGCTTATCTAGATCCACTGCAAATCCACTGCAAAAACAATGTTTGTTGGGTAGCCACTATATGACATATTAGAAATCGGCTGGCCACTTATTGCTGATGCAACTAATGGTCCTCTAAGCAACCGATGAACAAAACTCCAATAAACCACTCAAAATGGGCATTTTGCACCTCTATAAGCATATACCTATAGGGAGCCATTTAAAATTCACTGCAAAAAATATTTTCTAGATATATAAAAGTCAACAACTAATGATAAGTTTTTAAAATCAACGTTTTTCGCACTACTAGGAGTGTAACATGACGTATAAACACAAAATCTCTCACTCGAGAAACAACAACTGTTTCTAAAAACCAAGTTCTATAAATACAGGTAAAGTTGGTAAAATTAAGTAAAGCTTGCCTAAATACTTTGACTGATATAGCCATTTTTTGGTGTTGCTAGGATGTAGTTACGTTTTCTGTCTAAACATTCCTAAATTATTTATAAGCAACTTCCAGGAGTACGGCTTTCAAATTTTTTTTCTATAAGTCATACTTCAAATCACCAATAACAAATAGCAAATATGGTTTTTCAAGATTGAAATGCCAAATTTAGTAATGGTTATGTTTTAAGTTTATTAAACTATAATTTTTTTTCTGCAATAAGAAATTATAATAGTTAATTAGTTTATAGTTAAAAAATATTTTTAAAATAAATTTAATGGCTTTCATTAGTTTTAAAAACGTTTATTAGATGAAATGCTAACGTTTATAGTTATAAAACACGTTCAATATAATTTCGCACAAAATACTCAATATTAATCACATCTTTAAAGCTGAAATTAATCTCTCTCTCTCTTTCTCTCTCTCTCTCTCTCTCTCTCTCTCTATATATATATATATATATATATATATATATATATATATATATATATATATATATATATATATATATATATATATATATATATATGTATATATATATGTATATATATATATATATATATATATATATATATGTATATATATATGTATATATATATGTATATATATATCTATACATATATATATATATATATATATATATATATATATATATATATATATATATGTATGTATATATATATATATATATATATATATATATATATATATATATATATATATATATATATATATATATATATATATATATATATATATATATATATATATATATATATATATATATATATATATATATATATATATATATATATATATATATATATATATATATATATATCTATATATCTATATATCTATATATCTATTTATCTATATATATATATATATATATATATATATATATATATATATATATATTTATATATATATATATATATGTAAATGTAATATTCTTTTTGTTGATTTCATGATTCTTTGCTTAGGTTCTATGAAGCAAAAAGAAAAAAATTTTACTCATCTAAAGTCATGCCACGCTTGGTAGAATATATTATTGCTGTTGGGATTAAAAGGCCAAAAGTAGATTCAACTGAGTCACCAGAATTGATCAAGCGCTATCCAAGGGAAGATCACAAGGACTTCCCATTACATCCTGATATTGTTTTTTTTTGCCAGCCTGAAGGGTGCAGTACATCATCAAAAAAGATAAGTTTACATCAGATAAATACTTTTGTATTTACACTAACAGATAAAGAAACAAGTATAACCAGATTTGGTATTTGCTGTAATTTTTTTAGACCTTGTTTGGGTGTACCACAGAATAATAAAAAACAGGTAGAATCACTTTCACTTGAAGGAGATTTAACAGAAAAGAAAGATTTTGTCAATGAAGTTGACAAGAAAAGACATTCATTGAATTCTTTGAATAAAAAATCAAGTTTAGCTTCAAATTTAGTTTTATGTTACTCACTTACAAGTGTTTGTATAATTTCCAGTTTTCCTTTCTTTTCAACTTTTCGCGAGTGCTTATATGTATTAAGAAAACTAGTTGAGTCTCGTAATAATAACAAAAAAGAGATATTCGATAAATCTTCTAATGATTTAGTTGATGATATAAACCAAAATATAAATCAGTTAACATTAATTCAATGTCGTAACTGGTCATTGTTATTTAATAACCAAGATTATTTGAATTCCCAATCAATTAACACTGATATACTGGATGTTGATTACTGGATAAGAAATTTGTTGAAAATACCTTTGCCTGTATCTGGTTTAAACAGAGTAGAAGTAGAGCTGTTGCCACGACATATTCAACCACCTTTAACATTTGCTTTACCTGAAAGTAGCCGCTTTTCTTTTTCTGATTATCCAGTACATTTACCATTAGAACTCCTCGGCGTTGAAACATGTTTAAAAATTTTAACTTGTATTATGTTGGAACATAAGGTAATTTTTATTTTAATTAAAATTAAATAATTCAAACAATATTAAGCGATTGTATTGATCGTAAATTATTAATTTAAATTTTAAAATGTGTAAAATGTACTAATGTAAGGTATTACAGCTAGAGATTGTTTGGTCTATGAGTGTACACATATAAATGGGACAATATAAGGGCGTTAACTATAAATTTAGAGGTATTGTTTTAATTTTTTTTGAACTGATAATGTAAAAATGTGTCATATTGTAAAAAGATTTTATTATTTGTTGCATTGACCACACATGATTAAATTTTGTTAAGGCCTTGCGCTGCAAACAGTCAATATTTTATTAGATTTGACAGACTAAAACAACAACAAAAAAAGATGAAATGTAAACCTTTGATTAAATACGTTTAAAAATTAAACAAACATAAAAGTTCTATAAAAACAAGCCCCATGTGCCTTTATTGCATCATGAATTTTCAAATAACTTTTTCTTCCTTTCTTTTAGGCAAAATGCTGGAAAATCATTTGTACTCAAACCTTAATTTATCCAAGAAGTTTTTCCTGAATAATTTTGTTTTCCTGAATAATAAAAATATTTAATAATACACTTTTTAAATATATTAAGAAGTGTAACAAAAGTGAAAGGTACATAGTTGTAACAGTTTATAATTTCCAATAGTGTTATTTATCAAATCAAAGTATTGTAAATAAGTTTATTAACAAATTGCATCAACTATTTACAATAACAGTTGAATTAGCAGTGTTTTTAAGTGATGTACAATTGCAATTTGTTGCTAATATTAGAAATAGTCATTTTTTATACATGTAAGGAATAACTAAATATTATAATTTCTCAAAAGAGCTATAATTGTATTTAGCTATATAAAAAAAAAATGAATATATATATATATATATATATATATATATATATATATATATATATATATATATATATATATATATATATATATATATATATACATATATATATATATATATATATATATATATATATATATATATATATATATATATATATATATTCAATTTTTTTATATAGCTATATATATATATATATATATATATATTCAATTTTTTTATATAGCTATATATATATATATATATATATATATATATATATATATATATATATATATATATATATATATATATATATATATATATTTATATATATATATTTATATATATATATGTGTATATATATATATATATATATATATATATATATATATATATATATATATATATATATATATATATATATATATATATAGCTATATAAAAAAAAAATATACAGGGTGTTACTTAGGAAAATATTTCATACAGCGTTTTTGCGAAATTGGGAATTTAGGTGCGGTAAAAAAAAAAAAAAAAAAAATTTTAATCAAAATAATTTTTCTTTTTTTGCTGGGAGTTACATTTACAGCAGTAATATTTTTCTTCTTCATATATGTTTAATTTTAATTAATCAACTTGTTTCATTATGAGCAATCTTCTAAAGTTTTCATTAAAATCACTTCTTTTCTTTGTTTTTGATATACTGCAGCCGTTTTCCAAAATGCCTTAATTACGTATTTCGAGAAAAGCGCAATTTAAAAAAATTGAAAAAAAAATCTGAACGCGAATAAGTGACATCAATAAAAATTAAAAAAAAAAGTTTTTTTTAAACTTTTGAATGAATGATCTTGTTAAGGTTAATGAAGCTTTGTTAATGACGACATGTTTTAACACATAAAAAAAAATCGATCAATTTAATTCATTTTTTCGTCATGCATACTAATTTTTACTAGTCTAGCGCGACACTTTTGACTTAATTTTTTTTTTTTTACTATAAGTTACTTTAAAATAGAGAATAAGTAAAAATATTAGGAAATGGTTAACTGAAGACTCAAAAGTTGTAGATTTTATATAAAAGAAAAACATGAAGATGGCTAGTAGTTATAAGGTTTTTTTGATGTGCAAGGAGAAAAACTGGATTAGAAAAGGTTTTGTAGCATGAAGCGACAAATACAGTAAAAGGATTCAACTTGCTGAATAAGAAACAAGCAAGAATGAGTTTTGGTTTATCGTAATAGAGATGATAGCTTGCTTGAGCATTGACCATGGTTGTATTTGTAGAAAAAGAAAAGAAAATGCAACCTTACAACAATGGAAGAGTGGCTCAAGTTTGGGAGATAAAACAGGTCTAGTTTTAGACTTTGTCTGACGGTAAGAAGGTTGTTATGTATCAATATAGAAAAGCCAACAATATTGCAATATTTTTTTGCAGTAAATAAATGAGTTTTGTTGTCTAACAAAAGTTGTGGATCTTAAATCTAGGTTTAAAATCTACAAGCCACTGCAAGCCTTAGGCTGTTACAGAAAAAAGTGAAGACTTTTTGTCAAGAGTAGAGTTTTAAGTTGAGTTGTCAGGAATTAGAACCACTTTAGATATCATAAAGATCATTATTGTAGATAAGAAACAATACAGGAGCAAAGGTAGAACCTTGTGGTACCCTTAAAGTTACTTGGAATAAAGAAGATGGTAGGCCTTCAAGAATAAATTTACTACTGCAGTTAGAAAAAAATCATTTAATAACCTCAAAACCTTTATATAATGAAACTAATAACATAGTAAAAGCTTGTAAGATAGTTGGAGAGGTCAAAGTGTTTTCTAGATTTAAAAAAAAATCGAACCACTTATTTAGCACTTAATAAAAGTTTAGCAATAATTGAAGATAGTTCTGGAGAACACTTTCTAAAGACTATGATGGAAATCTATTTTGGAGCACCAACTGTAGAAATGTTTAATTAAGTATTAACTTTAGCATTGGAAGCCAGAGTGATTTGGATAACAATGGGTTAATCTGTTCAACTGTCAGGCAGAGTATGGCCATTTTATTCAAGAGTCAAATTAGAATATGATTTCTTTGCAAATAACTCTGCTTTATTCTGGGGAGAAGTAAAAAGATCAGACACGTGAACTAGAGATTAAATGTTAAACTTACTTTAGAAGACTAACCAAAAGTCTCTGGAACTTAACATCTGAGATAAGATACCAAATTTAGTAAACTGAGAATAACAGAGCTTAACATCAGACAGGACTTTTTTATATTAGCTTTTCGCAATAATAAAAGCACATTTGTTCTTAAGAGAGATCTTGTAAAAAAGATGAAAAAAATGATTGTTTAATAAAGAAAATGCTCAAAATGGTGAAAAATGTGGAGTAGAATGAGACTCGATTTAAAGTTGAAGAGAAGTAATAAAAGCTTCCAAACATTTATTCCAGAAGGAATAAAAGATTCCAAGATGCACTTATGCATACATATTATGGATATAAACATATCTGTTTGCTACTTATTTAGATGCGGCATACAATATCCTTTTATTGTTATATAAACCTTTGTATATATATATGGATTAGTATTTGCCAAAAGAGAAGATGATCAGATGAATGTGTGGTGTGACCCAAGCAAGACAAAAAAGGAAGGCATAATCTTAGACAGATTCAAAAAAACATTGTGTCGAACAACATTTGTTAGAAAAGATTAAAGTAATTTAAGCATCATGGTAGTAAGAAACTTGAAGAGAGTGCCTTTCATATTGTATGAATGAGCTTTAGTTTAGAAAAAAAAAATGTTCTAGATAGTTTATATTAGAGAAACAGTATAAAAGAGGAAGGCTAAAGATTTGGAAGCGGATGGTAACGATCATGATAATGATCATGATAATGATATTGATCATGATCATCATCATCAGGCTTTAGCATTCCTATTTTATGATGTTGATGATAATGATGATGATGATAATGATGATGATCATGATCATGATGATGATGATGATGATGATGATGATGATGATGATGATGATAATGATGATGATGATGATCATCATCATGATGGTGATGATCATGATGATGATGATGATGATGATGATGATAATGATGATCATTATCATCATGATCATCATCATCATGATCATCATGATCATGATCATCATCATCATGATCATGATCATCATGATCATGATCATGATTATCATCATCATCATGATCATGATGATGATGATGATGATGATAATGATGATGATGATGATGATGATGATGATGATGATGATGATGATGGTCATGATCATGATGATAATGATGATGATGATGATGATGATCATGATCATCATGATCATCAACATGATGATCATGATCACGATGATCATGATCATCATGATCATCATGATCATCATCATGATAATAATAATGATTATGATAATCATGTTGATCATAATGATGTTTACAACCCTCAGAATTAGGGTCGGCATTCGGCAATGCCAACCTAACTTCCGACCTGAAAGTGTTTGAGGTTGGCAAAAATTGCCAACCTTATTTCTATGTTTTATAGTCACACCTTTGTATCAAATAATTTTTGCCGACCTGATGCCAACCTCAAAAACATTAGGAAAAAAAACACAACCCTCGAAATTAAAAAAAATTGCTGATTTTTCCTAATTCCGAGGGTTGTGTTTATATATGTATATATATACAAAATATAACATGAATTTTGAATAAAAAAAAATACTTTAGGATGTATAAATGTTTATGCAACCCCGGTCACAAACCTGACCCTGGCTATATTTTATCAAACCCGGCCATGGACCCGGTCAAATATCAACCCCGGTTGTTTACTAAACACAAGACTATTCTCCAATGTTTTTTTTTTTTTTAATATTACTTTATGTTTTATAACCATACATTGTTACCACAAAGTATTGTTGTATTATAATACCACAAAGCATTGGTTGCTAATGAGAATGAACTGATGACCCAGCACTTAGAATGACTTATGACTTCAACTATTGGTTGAGCTTTTTTCTTCTCTGTTGAATAGTTTTGTTTACTTGTTTAAAAGGTACATTGAAAGGCAAATAAACTTTGCATCTTCAATGAGATTTATTGAGACTGATATAGCAGAATCAGAAACAATAGTCTCTATAGTTAAAAGGACATTCTCATTAATGGTTTACATT